ATCGTAACACGAAATATTTCAGTCACGTGAACTCTGATCGAAATATGTTTTCCGTAATTGTATACTCGGAACGTACCTAGGATTACGTATTGGTCTCACGACGACGTGTATTCTATCATTATTCTTTTTCTACAAGTATCTTTTTATTAGATACTAGATATCTTGCTTTGACTTTAGAGAGGCTATTTTTTTAATTTTCCAAGTGGTTTTAAAAATAATTGGGAAAACCCGGTAAAAAACGTAGGGAACTTTTACGTACCATATAAAAGACATTTATGACATTTATGACAATAATAAACCCACCCATAGTACTCTAAATACTGCCATAATATTTTTTTAGGTGGTTGGGGTAGAGGATAATTGGTTTTTCCAAATGCAAGTTTTATTTTCGTCCAGATCTTTTTCTACCAAATCCGATCAACGACTATAGCGTAACAAACTTAACACATTTCGTTTGGTCGATATATCGGGGAGATCGGTTTATTTCCACGTTGTTATCTTAATAATTTGAAAAAAAAAAAACCTTAGGAAAAACAAGCAAATTTCTTTATTTTCGTTGTAATTCGTAATTTGGTTAAACTTATTCGTAACATGAATTTCATATAGAATATATAAAATATATGCATTTTCTATCGTATGTAGGTAAACATAGGCGCCGATTTGGCACCATTTTTTTATTGTTATGGAGGTTGGGAGCTAGAATAATCGTTATTATTAAATTAGTTACATTGCCATTATTTAAAATAAATAAATATATTATCCAATAATTTTAGAGACTTAGGATGCTTTTGAGGGGAGCTAAGCCGTCTTAGAACTCCTCGATTCCATTCTACGAATATAGGCAGCGATAGCGATGAACTTTAACAAAATAAAAAATGAAAAAATGTCCTTTTATTTCTGCGATGATAAAAGTCTGTTTTATGTATATGCTTAAAGGAAACGCGTGGTCGGGAATAAAACTATTTTTTTTAAACGCAAATTCATCGTACACGCATGTGTTAGGCTTTATTGAAGATTAATCGACGTATTTTTTAAAATTAAATTAAATTTAACAATAATACACTTTTATGTAATGTATGATGTATTTAATTAACAATTCGCATATACAGCCAAATGTATGCGTTTTATACAATATAAAGTTGAAACAATTTAATTTTTCAACATTTTTTTATAATAATGTATAGTTTATTTTTTTTTAAATTGAGACTAAACAGACATATAATATTATACTTTAACCGATCGTGGGTTATAATAAAAAAAATTGAGTAAGTTCGTACGCAAAATTGAATTTATCTATCCACCGAATGTATTAATGTAACAATTTAATGTTTTGTTATTATTAGTTATAGTTAAAAAATTATTTCTATAACTGATTGATTTACTGATATTGGAAAAATAAAAATATATAACATAGGTTAATAGAAAATTAAAAATATTGAATTAGTTTAAAATGTTTAGGTAATGTAAAAACAGACAATAAATAAAACAAATACATGCGTTTATAAAATTATTCAATAAATAGAGGAACGCGTTTCTGGATGGTCTCTTAAACTGTATCAAGTGTTTGGATTTTGTCGAAACCGTAGAAATCACGTCAATTATTCGAACAAAAATTGAACGGTATTTTGAAATAGCGAAACACTCATATCCCCCCCCCTCAATTGAATTGTTTATATTATGTAAAAACTATAGAAGGAGAAAAGTTCCATTTTTCAAATGCCATAGAATACGAAATTATATTTAAGTGAAACCGTGTTATTCACGTACTTGACTATAAAACCACTCAGGTTTTACATATTATTATATTACACTTTGATATGCGAATTTCACATTTAAATTTTAATATTAGTTGTTCAATTTTTTTGTCTATATTTTCCTCGTTTTCCGAATTCACAAATGTGCATTAATATAACACGCAACTAAGAATCTTAGTGAATGGATATTAGTGTGCTTATAATATATACTTTGAATCAACCTGTTTTCATATTAGTGGTTTCCAAACGAAAATCCAATAAGCTATAAAAATAAAGTTGACAGTGGTAGGATAAAATAAAAACATTGATAACTATTATTTTTTCATTGCATTTACAAAATAAAAATCCATTGCACAAATAAGAGTATAATAAGTAAAGAAATCGAGATGGTTCGCGACTTATCGAAAATTTTCTAAATGACCCATAGTGTTAAAAATTTTAAAAACCACTCGTTAATATCTGAATTTAACCGAATACGAAATTTACGGATACGATTAAATTATTGAACACTGCGCGTAATAAATATACGATATTTTAAAGGCATATTGTTTTTCAAATCAAATATATTATATTATTATAAAGTTTTACAGTTAATAATATTATTATATAAACTATAGACGGGTGGTATAAATATTCTGCGCCTCCATTCGATGTCAGGATTACAAAACTTTTCGAGAAAATCGTATCCAGTGAAACTCGAAATATTTAAAAAGATTTCAGTATAATATTAAAAACGCTAATCTGATAAATATATATAATATTACTAATGTCAGAGGGTGCTTTGAGAAGCCCCAAACTTGGAAATTTCGACAATTAAATGAAAACCACAATTCGACGATAATTATTTAACTTTAAAATCGATAAAATGTGTAACTTATTATTGTTATTATTTTTATTTATTACATGTGACTACTATGATTAATTATTTTATAATATGGTAATCGTTAATCGTTTTATATAATATTATTATTGTTTAATGCATTAATTATTATCATTTATCAAAAGATAAAAAACGAGATAAAACCTTTTGAGAATTTTATATTTGGATTTGAAAAACTTTTAATCACACACTACCGTCAACTTTTGTTAGCGCGGTCACTGAATTCAACCGTATTAAAAAAAAAATCAGAAACGTAGGCGCACGCAAAGAATCAATACCGTCATTGTCATTTGTAGAAAAAAAATGCTTTTAAAATAATTAAAATATACTTTTTAACGTCATAATGCTATGTGTAAAACATTGATTTTTTTTTGTACTTCAGTACTATTTTGAAATTACTTACATATTTTTAAAAAAAAAATCGTACTTAATTAAAACACTTCAATAAACATTGTTGAATTATATTTATTATTATTAATATTTGACGGTTTCTTTTTCATAAGTCTCCATACTAAAATTTTTTTGTACGGCATTGTATACGTCCGTGTACCGATATTGCCTGACTAATACGCCGTGGTATACGACTATTATATTAAACAATTTATTTTTTTATTTTTTCACCTACTTCAATTTTTTTTTATTATCTATTAACATAAAAATGTACAAAAAAAAAAAAAATAATAATAATATAGGATAATACAACACTGATAATGTAGTTATACATATATATTTTTGTAATTTTATACAACGCACAATGAAAAAACAAAAAAGTATAAAATATATTATTATAATATTGCATTTTGTTCATTAACCAACTAATATAATATAACTAATATATCATACGAACGTAAAATACCGATTTTAAATGCAATATTTGAATGTTAACAATATAGAATTAAATCTTCATTAAAAGGTATCAAGTATTATTTTCATAACTAGGGCTGGGATAATTAGTCCCAAAAACGCTGTAAAAAAAAAAAAATATTTTATTGACAACAATTTTAAAATATTTTACTTTTTAAATGGACGAAAAAATGATTTTAAATCTAAAACTGTCAAAATATTAACTATAATAGTTCTTAACATCATAAGAAAATAGTGATATGTCGTACTCTTTACGATATAGAATTGGTTCTACGAAAGAATCGGGTCTAGGTGAACAAAAGTTGCTCATCTGGATCATTAAAAATCATTTATCGTGATATAGTATTGTTTTTGTAAAAAGTTAATTTTATAATATTCCAATTAAAATTAGAATAAAATATAATCATATAATACCAAAACTAGTAGAAGATGATTTAAAACACGAACAACAATATCGCGCACTAGATCGCAATATAATATTAATTAATAAATGTGATTTTGGAAATACACAGGATAATCGTAGATTAGAAAATGATCCAGAGAAATGAAGTAATTTGGGTTGCGGACAATATTGTTGTCCGATAATATAATACAATTATTTTTTAGTTGTTGTTGTATACAAATCTCGCTAGTATGTACAACTTTCAAAACAAACATTTAAATTTAAATATTAGATCATAAAACCAAACACACTACTCCAAAAATCTTACAATAATACCTTGACTTATATTTTACAATTAATTAATGCGATATGTCATTCCTTATTGTCATTCAAAAACACATGGAACGAATTTAAAACGAAACGATTTCTACATCCTTTAAAAATTAAAACGATATTCAAAGTTAATTGTAATCTCAGTCAAAAAATATTACTCCAAAAGTTGCTTTCTACGTAATATGGTCTTATTTTGACGGTTAATTGTTTCCTTCAAAAAAAAAAAAAACACCTCATGTATCCATAATGGTCTTTTTTCAATATGTTATTCTCAAAATTTATAATAATACATATCGGAATTGCACAGTTCCTACTTACATGCATCTATTAAGTAGATCAGTGAAAAATCCGTATCGTTATGTTAAAATGTAATTTTTAAATTTTATGAAATCGGAGAAAATTGCTCCTAGCGAAATCCTATTTATATCCATTAACCGAAATTGTATTATCAAAAAAAAAACCGCCACGGAATAGAATAATACGTGGCGCGTTCGTAAGCGTGGAATTTTAAAATTATGTTTTGTATAAACGCAAAATAAATAATAAAAAATTAAATCAAAAATTTAAAACAAAACAATAATAACGACGTTGGTGTTGGTGTCGTAATTCATGGTTATTACTTTTACCTCTCCTATACTCTGTATATACGCGATAATCTTAAAGTTTTTTTCTTTTCTTAAAAAAAAGTTTGTTTTTTATTTATGCGTTTGTCCCCCTCTAAATATAGAGATATATTTAATATTATAATAAAACATCCACGGAAAACGTCGTTTTCAGATTTCACACATACCATAGTTATGCCATATTGTGTACAAAACCGATTATCACAATGCAAAGACGATCTGTTAAACATTATCAAGCATTACAATACGATATTTGTATCCATCGCCACACAATAATTTTGGATAACATTTATCAATATTCTTTGTACAATATCTCAATAGATTTATTATATTTTAGTAGTGTTTTTTGTGAGTTAAAAATTGTTCACTCAATTTTCTCATCCGGCCAAAATCGATAAATTAGGTGGGTACTACGACTTCAATTCAGCCAACAAATGTTTACGATTTGTATATTTTCACAGTTGAATATTATTATAGGTCAGTTAGTTTTAGAAATAGAAATGAAGTTTGTTTTGTTTTTTTATTGTGAAAATTATAAAATTTGTTAAAAACGGATATAACACATTTAACCCATTTTTTATACCTTGTTTGGATAGTAATAATTATTATAAAGTAAATTTATATTACCGCAGAAAGGTAATTTTTATTAGCACGTAATAGATGAACAATATCAAATTGCCTAATAATAAATAGTAATTAGACGTAAAAAATAACATTATTTAATTATATAAAAGCCAGTTACTACAATAGCAATATATTTTGAATTTATTATAAACTTTAACAATATTATTACATTCATTTTAATTAGATATACGTTAAATGTATATTGATGAAGTTTTTTTTTTTATATTATTTAATTTGTAACATCCTGTGTAAAATAATGCTTCCCTTAAAATTATTTGTGTTTTTTTCCTATTAAACGTTTATATTTTAAATGAAACCCATTGAATTATATTAATACATTTTAATAAACAGATTATTAATTATAAAATTATTTTGTATGATACCTACATAATATATTTTTGATCCCGGGTTACAAGAAAGCCTTAAGTAAATTTTTGCTTTTTAAATTTTTTTTTGTGTATTAGAATCAAAAATAACAACCTAACTAAAATACACGATATACATACAACATATTTATATATATGTTATACATAGTCATACAGGTACTTATTAACATAGCCCTTATTCTACATGATATAATATTGTTTTACGTAATTATCACCATCACTAACATAAATATAATTGTTATATTAAAACATTATTGTTACTTCACTCTTATGTCCGAGGCTTCAACCGAAACACCTAGATAACGAGCCCAGTTATATTTGAAATATATTTTTGTTCTTTCAATATCGAATTATGGTGAAAAATATTGTAAAACTACTGACCTTAACTGAACAGCATCAGGATGTACTGCGATTATTTAGCTAAGGCATCGGAGTTCGGAGGACATATTTTTGTGTTAAAACATTTCTTTGACCGTCCGGTTAGTAAAGCTATAATTACCGAAGATTTCGGTGTACGTTTTGTGATTTACTGCCGTATGCTTACAAGGAAATTCTTTGCATATATGACGAATTGGTGTCCAACGTGGAGCTTGAATCTACGATTCTGAGATCTCAGAATCTGAGTCTTATGCTCTACTGACTGAGCTAGACGGTAACAATAAATGATGGCGACGGTAACAATTACTTAAAACAACATGACATATTAAAATATGTTCAAAATATTGAATTACTATTATTGGCGGCTAGATAAACATTATGATGCGCTTTTTGTTAGGCCGAACAGTATACTTATACAGGTATAAGTCATGTTTACCATACTAGCAATTCAGCAATAGTTATGCCATAATATCATTTAACAATTTGCAAAATTTAATTTGATTTATTTACTACGAGAAAATGTAAATCAAAATTCATTCTTAGGAAGTGCAACGTTTTCGGTGATATTTTAACGAGATCGAAAAATTTTTAATTTTCGGGGATATTTTTCTTGGAAGGCGTATAAAAAAAAACAATCAAAAAAGATTAAAATATATTATATTATATTATTAAATTGAATTTTGCCTGTACTGTGCTATTTATTGGTTGTGAAAAACGAACTAGCTATCCACGACGACCGAATAAAAACTTTTTTGGCAAAAACTAATAAATGAGTTTCGGCGTTTATAATATTATTATTCAATATAAAAATATTATTATCATTATTCGATATGATCAAATACAAAAAAGTTTTTAATGGAATTGCAAACTTAAAATATAAACATCTGATACTGCTGATGATGAGAAGTTGAGAAGGTTATAGGAGTAATATAATAATAGAGTAATTTAATTTATAGCTGTATACAAATTGATTAATCAATTACTAAAGAAAAACGATTCTGAGTTAAGTTCTGTTAAATGTGTTTTGAAATACAAATTCTTGATCAAATTGACAAATGTACCACGGTCATCGATCCTCTCGAGGGGACAATTGATAATATGACAATATTAACTCCATTGTTTTTGAAGATACAAGATCCGGACATTGGCCATTCCTTTTGTGTTAATTTTGTGATCGCTCAGAGTGGCAGTTCAAGGTCACTTTTTTTACCATTTTTTTCAGAGAACGAAATTTATTGAGATTATGTTTACATGTATACATTTATTTTTTCATTTTTAATTTAATGGTTTTAGGTTCTAAGTGCAGTAAAGAAAATATTTATTTTATTTTTATTTTTTTTTTGTTGTAAATAACTTTCTACCAACAATTTTTTTCCAATCAATAAAATGGTTCACCGTTGCGTTCAGGTATAAATTAAATAACTCCTCTTTATATATACTATAGAAGGTACGTCTATCAGCCGTATCAGCCCTTGCATTTTATATTTCATGTTTGTAAATAAACAAAAATATAATTATTTGTTATGATGAGGATATATTATTTATTTGAAATTGAATTATAATTATGATTTTTGAACTTTACACTAAAACGCATGAAGTTCCGCTTATCATCCTTTTTGTTTTTTTGTGGACGAAATTGTTACTAAAACTGTCTCTTTATGCGGCCGTGTTTCATAATGCAGTGTTCTGACTTTATCTTCCAAAACTGTATTATAATAGCCGTTGCTGAGATCTGTGAGTTATACACGAAACACAGCGATATTAATAAATTGAGCACACAATTCTGAGACTCAAACAATATAGCTCATATTCAGTAATTGTTATTGTTATAAAATAATCGAATTCATGTTTAAAAACGAATTTTCGAGTTGGGTTCTATCAATGGATAGCCTCCCTCCTCATATCATTCATATCTCACTTGTATATGACATCATATTTACTTATTGTGCTTCACTAGCATAGATTGGTTATTTTCTAATTAATAAAAAAAAAAAAAAAAAAAAAAAAAAACGAATTTTACCTATTCAATCGTACTTATGTCAATTAAAATAAACGACTACAAATTATACAATTCCAACTCAAAATCTGTTGGTATATTTTACTATTTTAAAAATACTATTATAGGTATATCCATATATAATAATATACTGTATTTCATTGTACATTTTACATTTTGAAGTTTTTAGATACTGAGCGTGTTGTCAAAAACTTTGTTGTAGAACTTTTGATTTAGTTGATGTATTGAGGAGGTCATTTTTTGATTTTCCCTGTGTTAATAAATTGCTTATATAAATTGTATTTGTTACTAGAATACTTGGCAATAATGGAAAAAATTCGACATATAATAATAACACTTAGCTAAGAATTTTTTTTCGTTACATGAGGGTGTCTTACATTTTCTAAAAAAAAAAACTTGACAACATGCATACTATTATTGTAGTTATATTACATAGATAATACGGGGAAAATATTAAACTTTTTCCTAGCCCTTTCGACCGTTGAGTTTAATGACCCTTTTCAGAAGTTTCCACTCGAAGGGCCGCCTTAATGAAATTGCCCGTTCAATCATATTCTCCGCAAGCACGTCAAACGTCCGTCGAGTATACACAATTTGTGTTATTATTTTTTATTTTTTTTATTGTTTATCAATTGGCCTTCTTTATTTCCATTGGTATAAAGAATTATGGTAAAAAAAGCCACTTCCTTTTATTTTATACACAAATTACGTGCGCACAACTTATTTTTATATGCTATGGTGGTTAATACGAATTATATTTTACGGGTTGAAATTATATGTACATTGAAATATTATATAAAACTATATAGAATAGAACAAAGACGATAAGCGCGTTACCAAGTTAAGCGCTTAAACAATATGCAAATAAACAGGCCGATTTTTCTCCCTTCGTTTGGCATTTCGGAATGCTTATTGATTATATGAAACTATATTTTTACGGTTTTTATTTTTTTATTATTGAAATTTGTAACTTGTACATCGAAATTCATGCGTATATCTACGCTTCATATTATTATAAAAGCCAAGAAAATGAAATATTTATTTTGTCATTTGGGTTTTATAGTTTAATATATGAATTGGGAATCGTATAAAACCGTTTTGAGTTTAGTCTAAAAAAATAATAATATTTTATGTAATAACTATAGAAAAGGTGATAAAATCAATAAGTATATTGCATATACTTTAAACTAGTGGTTCTCAAACTGTGGTACACATACCACCGGTAGTGGTGGTATACAATATGCAACAAATAGTGGTATGTAGAAGGCCGTATAGTATTAGTACGGAAAATAAATAAATAGTTAAATATGTGTACAAAAGTTTTTTTACAGTTACAATACTATTTTTTTATTTTTCGTACCTAAAAGTAATATTAATATATTACAATATAGTTATAATATATAATATGTTATAATATGTGTTGGGCGACAGATCAATAATACATAATATAAATAGTACGTGAAAAAAATGTTTGAGAACCTTTGCTTGAAACTGACGTATACTCACAACATTTCTATACCAATATAATATTTGTACAAAATTATAGTTTAATATTTCAAAAATTGTATGAGTAAATAATAACGAGCAACGGTGGGTCGTTATTTTTTTTTATTATCAGTGTATTTATAACGATTAACATTTAGGTACACTTTTATACCTCCATAATAAAATAATATATTTATAACTACATAAATATTGTTCTATACTCTTAAAATTCTATTAATTATTTATATCTACACATTAAGACAGTTAAATTACATAGTTACATAAGATTGTTAAAAAAAAATTGACGGGATGTATTTGTATACTCTATTATCTAGCAAATTACGCCACTAATGATTTTTCATAACACCGATTGTATAATTATTAGAATTCTATTCGTCATTTTCAATATCTTTGGTATCATTTTCATATCGGTTATATAATAAATATTTATTAAAAATTTACTAAAAGTTTTCAAATGAATATAATATATTGATACACAATTTGACTGTGATTTTTTTTCTTAAAAATACGAAACAGTCTCAACTATAGTAATAATAATAATAACAATCGATTTTTTTCAAATATATTTTCTAAATTATAATTATCTATTCATTTTCCCCGCATCAATTTCGATTGATTAAAATAATATTTGAACCCAAAAAAAAAAAAATGCATTTCTTTAATTCTTTAAATTAACCTAGTTACTTATTATTTATGTACTATTATATATTATTTAGAGAACTAAATTGTATGGTATTTTATTTAAAATATGTTTGTGAATTTTAATTAGTGAATCCAATTATTATATTTTGAAAGTTCCGTGTCAATATTTAAAAACCAATCTTGTTTTTTTTTTTATTTTTTTTTATTTTTTTTTTTAGTA